CTTATTTACCTGCGATCAGCTGTGATTGGACACAGCTGATCACATGACAGAGCCGACGTCATTGGCTCTTTCCATTAATTGGTAATCCGCTGTGTCCCTGGGACACAGAGCAAGACCAATCGCTGGGCTGCACACCCCCGGGGGTGCGCATGCGCGGTTAGAGTGGGAGGACATCCTATGACATCCTCCAGAATGAGAGAACCGCCTTGCGCCTGTCATTTCCTTATATGGCGGGGGGGAGATGGTTAAATAGGGCCATGTGCATTCCAGAGTGTTTTTGGTGTGTTCCGGTGCACTTTTGATGCGTTTTACTGCATTCTGGTACAGTTCTGTGCAGGGAAAATGCAGCCTGTTCTACTTTTTTTTCTGCAACTGGAACGCACTGGAACTGCAAGCACTGATGTGAACTATGACCTGACAACCATATAACCTACTTTCTGTGCATTTTGGATGCAGAAAAAAAGCACACTGAAATGCATGTAGTGTGAACTGGTCCTTAGTAACCTGTGCATGCATTTTTAATGCAGAAAAAAAAGCACTGGACTGCATCTGGTGAGAATTAGCAGGTTCACAGAAGATGCAGTCCAGTGCGTTTTTACATGTACAGTGTTTTCCATGTATTTCAATGGCCCTCACACCAGTGCAGTGCATTCCAGTACAGTCTTCAAAGTAGAACATTTGGCATATTTTCTGTATAGAACACAACAAAATGTACCATAATGCATCAAAAACACACTAGAGGGCACATGTCCTGAATTGAGATGAAGAAAAAAAGAGATGAAAAAAACAAGTTCACAGCAGATGCAGTCCAGTGCATTTTTACATGTACAGTGTTTTCCATGTATTTCAATGGCCCTCACACCAGTGCAGTGCATTCCAGTACAGTCTTCAAAGTAGAACATTGGCATATTTTCTGTATAGAACACAACAAAATGTACCATAATGCATCAAAAACACACTAGAGAGCACATGTCCTGAATTGAGATGAAGAGAAAAAGAGATGAAAAAACCAAGAGCGTATCAAAAACTCACTGGAATAAATAAAACAAAATTCAGAATGTAGACATGTGGCATGAACTCCAGCAAACACTCAAACCAGTTACAGCCACAGTTTTTTTTTTCTTTTGGGATAAAAGTTTAATAAAAGCTGATCATTTTACTGCACCCCTGTCACTTTTAAAGTGGCATTCCAGTGAAAATTTACAAAAAAAAGAAGTCAGCAGCTACAAAAACTGTAACTGCTGACTTAAAAAAAATATTGGCACTTCCCTGTCTCTCAATCCCACGGTGTCCACCCCATAGCCCGTTTCACCAGCGCCCCTGTGTTCCTGGCGCCAGCATCTCTGGTGTGGGCACCCAGCTGTCACAGCTTGCGTCTTCACATCCAGGTGCCCACTGCACATGCGTGAGAAGCACTTCGCTTTCTGAATGGTCCCGTAGTCTTCTGGGACCTGTCACATCTCCCAGAAGACTACAGGGAGGGGGGAGGACAACTTCCGCTTCCGATCGCCTAGGCTAGGGGTCTCCAAAATTTTCTAAGCAAAGGGCCAGTTTACTGTCCTTCAGACTTTAGGGGGACCAGACTGTAGCCGATAGGAGTAGAAAAACCCTGGCATCAGTGCCCCATCATCAGTTGTAATAGGAGGAATAGTGCCCCATTAATGATATCAGTGAGCAGAATAGTGCTCCATTGTTGATATCAAGTATAATGCCCTATTGATGGTATCAGTAGAGAATGGTGCTCCATTGCTGGTGACAGTTAGTGGAATAGTGCTCCAAGGGCCAGATAAAGGTAAGCAAAGGGCCCCATCTGGCCCCCGGGCCACAGTTTGGAGACCACTGGCCTAGGCAATTGCAGCTGAAGTGGAAGTGGATGCCTGTCAATTTCGGGTACCCGCTCCCCAAAAGTGCCATTCCTTAATGGCCAGCGGGAGACCAGTCCTTAAAGTGCAACTTCCCCTTTTGGGTGGAGCTCTACTTTAAATACTTTGTTTTAACCCTCCAACTGCCACTGTTGCTGGACAATTTGGTCTGTTGCTAGTTGAAAAATAACATGCTAAAAAAATAAAACTAGTGCAGCCACCACCTCTCATGACTGTTGAGCTGCAATATGTGACATTTTTGTTTTTGTGTTTAATACTGCTTTAAATAAATGTCTTCGTTCTATACATTTTAGGAGCAAATCTGAGCAACCAGATGAAGCTATTGTCTATATCAACCAATCAGAATGGCTTTGGGGGTTATTTACCAAAAACTGGCGAGTGCGAAATCTGGTGCAGCTCTGCAGAGAAACCAATCGGCTTCCAGATTTTATTGTCACAGCTGAACTGCACAAGCTGATGTTAGAAGCTGATTGGCTCCCATGTACAGCTGCACTAGATTCTGAGTGCTGCAGTTTTAGTTGATGTCCCCCTGTGACTGCAGTGCAGGATTGGATGGACAACAGCCCTCTTTTCTCCTTGCTTCTTTCTCCTCCCATCCTGCCTAAGAATATTATAGAAGCTCCCAGACCCAGCGACTGCTGTGCAGAGTATCGGTGCATTCCTCAATAGGGAGTACAGCAGTGATGAAGATTTACAATGTGCAAATAGTTTCTAAGAAAAGTCGTGCAGGGGGATGAAAATCTTGTGGCTGGGAAGAATAGGGAGAGCGGTGTGGATGTATAGTGCGCACGGTGCAAGCCCTTGATTTATGGAGTTTACAAATGCTAACTGAACACGGCTTCAATAGCCTTTCCTGCCAGCAGAAGAAAAGCCTTTGTGTTGCTAAGCGATTAGAGCACATATAATGAGATTTAGCCCAATCCTGCTTTGCCCTTTCCTATTTTCAAGTAAAATTGTGTGTTTTGGGGGGAATTTCTGCGACCGTCTTATACATTGTTGCAAACAACAGCTTAACTTTGCCTTAATGAGTCGGAATATTTACTATTCAAGAGTGAGCAATAGAGAACACCTGTCTACACAAGGAAGCCCCCCTTCCTCTTTTTTTTCAGTGGAGGATGAAACATTATCCTAATGTTATATTCATAGGCAGAAATGACTTGTATCACTTTCTCTGTATGCTACTGACAAAACAGAAAAGTAAAATACCCTGCAAAAAAAAAAAAATTAAAAACAAATAAAATAGCAGTAGGTGATAGTCGTAAATTAGACAAAATGAGCTGATTGGCTGTTTATTTGTATGTATATAATTGTATTTTTAAACGTAGGGAAGCATCAATGAAGTTCAGGCAGGAGCTGTCCCTGGAAAAGTCCTGGAATTAGGAGGACTGGATGTTCTAGCAAGGCAGGGACAGCTATGGGAGCTCTCCTTTGTTGGGGTCTCTAAGCTGCACTTTGCGCTTTGCTTTCCGCCTGGCTTGGTGCACGCAAACTGAATTTGCAAGTCATTTAGGAAGAGGCTGAGTATCCAGGCAAAGAAAATGGGACTATCATTCCGGTCACGTCCTTGCTAACTGACAACAAGCTCCCCAGCCAAAAAAAAAAAGCCCACCAATTTCTTTTTGAATCTTAGTAATTGGGTACTTTTACAGGCAGATCACGCTTTTTGGATAGAATGACATGCTTATAGAGCAGTGTCTCTGATCTGGCAAACTCCCCCCTCCTCCTCCTCCTCCTCCTGTTTAAGCTATTTCTTGGAAACAGCATGAGAGATTTGGGAAAGTTTGGTTTATTAAAAAAAAAAAGGAAAAACAAGTAAAAACTAATTTGATCTATGAATGCCATGCTTGTAGTGGAAATTTAAATCTACTTTATTCGACAATACATATAGGGGTTGATATCAAACTGGAGAGTGCAAAATCTGGTGCAGCTCTGCATGGTAGCCAATCAGCTTCTGTCTTCAAACTTGTTCAATTAATCTTTGACAATAAAACCTGGAAGCTGACTGATTGGTTTCTATGCAAAGCTACATCAGATTCTGCACTCTCCAGTTTTAGTAAATCAACACCCATTATTATTATTATTTATTATTTACTGCTATTATTATTATTTATTATTATGATTACCCCCTGGTCACATCAGGTGCAACTTGGCATGCAATTTGCAAGTCGTATGCCAAGTCGCACTCTATTGTCCCCAATTACAGCAGTCAAATCTGTACGGTTCCCACTTGGTTGGAGCCGCACAAATTTCTAAAGTAGTACATGCACTACTTTTGGTGCAATTTGCATAGACATCTGTGTCAGATGTCTTGCAAATCACACCTGAAATTGGCATTTCACCCGACTTTGAAATTGTGCGACTTCACTGTAAGTCGCATGATTTCAAAGTCGCGCTTGATGTGACTGGAGGGTTATACAGGATTATAGCACCAACAGTTTGCCCAACACTTTATAAACTGAAAGAGTTGACTTACTAAAACGTAAAAATGCTAAATCTGGTGTAGCTTTACATGGTAGCCAATCAGCTTCCAGCTTGTTCAATTAACCTCCCTGGCGTCTGATTATTTCAGATTTTTGGTGCTGAAAGCAGTACCATTATATTGCATGGAAATTTGGCGTTTTATATTGTAGGCCTGTCATTTTTAGGAATAACTCACTGAAATCTGTCCGAACAAGAGTCTAGTAAACATTCCGGGTATGTTAAAATTTGAAACGCAAAATCATAAATTATAATTTAATAAATAATCACAAAAAATAATAATATAATAATAAATTTAATTCAATAATATAATCAAACCAAAAACACTGAAATTTTAAATATAGCGCCAAGTTTGCACATCACTGAGCAAAGTCGCAAAATCGTTTTCAGTGTCAGATGACGAATTTCCCCACAAATCATTATCACTCAATTCTGCAAGTAGTTCTGATTTACTATCGCTGTTCTCTAGCTGGTCTAAAACCGCTTTTGACCTAAAGGGACGCTTTTTGGACGCCATGGACGTTTCCCTCAGTTTCCAGGTAGAAAGAATGGTAAAAATGCAGGCAGGGCACAGGACAAAGCACTAGGGACAAAATGTATGTGAAATGCTTTGATACAGTAATGTTTTACTATGAGATTTTAGTGATTTTGGTGAATGTCACTTTTTGTCATTTTCAAATTTCCCGCCGTTCCGTCCCCCTGTACGTCCCGACGCTCGCAGGGGACGGAACCCAGATGACAGATGCCGGCATCCGCCGGATTACATTGCCGGGGACACTGCAGGAGGGACATCGCGAGAGTGCAGGACAAGGTAAGTGAACGAGGGATCCCGGAGCAGCGCTGCATGGTAAGCCCAAGTGTAGCTTGGGGTTACCGCTTGTGGTACTGAAACTTTACTCCGAGCTACACTCGGGAATACCGCCAGGGAGGTTAAGCTTTGACAGTAAAACCTGGAAGCTGATTGGTTTATATGCAGAGCTGCACCAGATTCTGTACTCTCCAGTTTTATTAAATCAACCCCCATAATATTATTATTATACAGGATTTATATAGCACCAACAGTTAGAGCAGCACTTTACAAAATGAAAGGTTTGACTTCTAAAACTGGAAAATGCTAAATCGGGTGTAGCTTTACATGGTAGCCAATCCGCTTCCAGCTTCAGCTTGTTCGATTGATCTTTGACAGTAAAACCTGGAAGCTGATTGGTTTCTATGCAGGGCTGCCCCAGATTCTGCACTCTCCAGTTTAATAAATCAACACCTTTAATTATTATTATTTTTATACAGGATTTAAATAGCACCAACAGTTTGCGCAGCACTTTTCAAAATGAAAGGTTTGACTTACTAAAATGGGAGAGTGCAAAATCTGGTGCAGCTCTGCATGGTAACAAATCAGCTTTTAGCTTTAGCTTGTTCAATTAAGCTTTGACAGTAAAACCTGGAAGCTGATTGGTTTCTATGCAGGGCTGCTCCAGATTTTGCACTCTCCAGTTTTAGTAAATCAACCCCCATAATATTATTATTATTATACAGGATTTGTATAGCACCAACAGTTTGTGCAGTGCTTTACAAAATGAAAGGGTTGACTTACTAAAACTGGAGAATGCTAAATCTGGTGTAGCTTTACATGGTAGCCAATCAGCTTCCAGCTTCAGCTTGTTCAATTTAGCTTTAACAGTAAAACCTGGAAGCTGATTGGTTTCTATGCAGAGCTGCCCCAGATTCTGCACGCTCCAGTTTTAGTAAATCAACCCCAATAAAGATTGATTTACTAAAACTGTAGAGTGCAAAATCTGGTGCAGCTTTACATGACAGGCAATCAACTTGTTCAATTAAGCATTGGCAATAAAAGCTGGAAGCTGATTTGTTTAGTTGCAGAGCTGCACTAGATTGTGCACTCTCCAGTTTTACAAAACCAACCCCATAGCCTTTTGGCTTATACATATTTAACCACTTATGTGCTGATTTATAAATGCACAGAGTGCAGTAACCTATAGCAACCATTTCAGTTAGATAAGTGACACGTTGCTGGTTATGGATTACTGCTCCCTGCCTTATTAAACATGCCCTTTAGTCTCCATCTGTCACATTGGATGCTATAGGGGTGGATGCACCGAGATCCTCACTGGTCACTCGCTGGTATAGAGCGCCCCCCCTGTTTCCAGTGCGCTTTATGTGCTTAGTGCCGATTTAAAGGACAATAAAGTCATTAATCAATCTCCTTGCTCTGAATCCCCTTTTATGTAGGGGATGGCAAACAATCGGTACCCATCTTTATTGTGTCTCTTTCTAAATAGATACATCAGACTAGACCGCTGCTTTCCTTATACACCGCATCCTGAACATACTGCAAAACATAGCCCCTGAATGGACAGCAAATACAGACCACTGGATTTTATATAAAACGTTTTATTATGAAACTATTGTGTAAAAAAACACATTTCGTTATGCAGGACCTTTTGTAAGTTTGTAATAAAACGGTAAGAAAAGGCAGTGGTGTAAAGTTCCAAAAAAGTCAGCATAGAAACAATTATGGACCACTATTTTGCGTTTGGACAATAGCTGCATAAACTTTGTTCATTGTGAACATTGTTTTTGAATAACACAATTAATACATTAACAAAGTTTCTATAAAGTAAGACACATCGGTGCTGCTAAAGTACATCGGTAGGAGTTCCATCCCCAACCTTAGGAGAGTCCTTTCACAAAACCACATAGAAAATGGCAGTTGCAAGGTCATTTATAAGTAGCAGGGACAGGCAACCTCTGCCCTCCAGCTGCTGCCCCAGTCCACGTCCTTGGAGTGCCCGAGCAACAGCTGGGGGGGAAGTAAAAGAGGCTGACGATCACTGTCATATAGACTACAAGTCTAAATACGCGGAGGTAATAAGCATTACAATAATAATGTATCAAGATATACACATTTTTTTATAACATTTGTACAAAAATTCTATAAATCTCTCTCTTATGTACAAAAATAGCTTAATACATCCCAAACATCTGGGAACCATAGAAATAGATTTTTTATAATAAAAAAATCACAAAAAAGATTGGAAGCATTTGTTTTTTTACGATGAAAGTGGTATAAAAAATAGTAGTAGAGGGGGTTTAAAGGGTTCTTTGAGTATCAGCATAGTATGAATGCAAACTCCACAAGTATCATCCTTAGGGAAGGAGAGAGCGCTCAGTCAATGGGCTACGACCGGGTAGTAATTGGGAAGCCCTGTCTTTTATTTGTTCTTAGGACCTTGCTGGCCAATCAAAGCTCTTCCTTGTGTGAGTAGAGCAGTGGGTACCCCCCTCCACTCGTGATCCCCACACTTCTGAGTCTCTGGTTCTCTTGTGGACCCCACCGGAGTGCAAATCTAGTGCTTAGTGTTCTTGGAGAGGCTTGTGGACTCCCGTGTGCTTCACTTTCTGCTTCTTAGCGACAGTCCTGGAATTGGAAAAAAAGAGACAACCATCAGTAATGGTTTCAGGAGCGACCTCCAAGGGCCAGACCAGGAGCAACCTCCAAGGGCCAGACCAGGAGCAACCTCCAAGGACCAGCTAAAGTTTCATGGGCACCTTCCCTGTAAAGTGTTAGGCTCACCATCATGATGATCATGCAATCTTAGGTCAAATAACTTTAGATCTACCAAGATAAGAGAACCTACTAAACCATTTCTAACCAACATAGTTGGAAGTTTTAAAGAAGGTTGGAATGAGTGTGATGAGCCTTAGGCTGGCTTATATCTTCCTTTAGATCTTCCAAAGCTGTGTAATATGAGGACCTACCAATCCTACGTGGTTGTTGGTAGATCTAAAGGAGGTTGTAATGAGTGTGATGAGCCTTAGGTTGGCCATACACCTTACAATTTTCTTTAAATCTGCCAAAACTGTGTAATAGGAGGATCTACCAATGAATTTGTATCTTGCATAGTTATTTAAAGATCTAAAGGAGGTTGTAATGAGTGTGGTGCACCTTAGGGTGGTCATACACCTTAGATCTGCCAACAATGATGGAGTTTGATGATATAGGTGGACCTTCTATGAAAGGAAGGAGACTTCCCAATGGGAATGTAAGGTGTATAGCCCGCTCCATAGCATGTTGACAGTTCAGCACCATGAGAGTGGACTTCAAGGTGGAGGACTCACCTGCCGCTCAGAACCAGGTGGTGAAGTCTAGCAGTTCTTGCTCCTCTGGACTTAGGGGGTCGTAGGATCCTTCATCGGAGGAGTAGGAGGAGACAGGAGATCCTGCCATAGAGTTCATGTCATGACAGTAGTTTGGGGAGATGGTAGGTGACAGCACCCCGGACTGGAAGGCAGCGCTGACAGCGTCATGTTCGTCCAGCAGTTGTTGCAGCGCTCGGATGTACTCTACTGCGGAGCGGAGGGTCTCCACCTTGCTCATCTTCTTGTTGGCCGCCCCGTTGGGCACATGTTCCCGGAGGGTGGCGAAGCCCAGGTTGACCAGCTTGACCCTGTTCCTCTCCCTCTCGTTCCTCCTGGCCACTGCCGCCGGCTGCTGTTGGGGCAAGCTGTAGCCGAAGCCATTGAAGTTGAGCCTCCTCTTGCACCTCATCAGCTCCGGGGAGGACGACCTCTGCTCTTGACCTGCTTGGCACCGGACTTGGCATTGGACTGCTGCTGTCCGTCCCCCGGGCTCAGTTGCAGGCTCTGTGCAAAGTAGCAGGCTGGCTGCAGGAAGTGCTGGCTGGAGCCGCTCTCTGCCTTGGCAGTGCTGTCCATTTGGCTGGCTGGACTGGAGACTCGTGTGTGTCGCGTGGATCGCAGTGGCTGTGCGGGTGAGGCGGGTGAGGCGAGCCCCGCGTTCTGTCCCGCACGTTCCCTGCTCGCTGCGCTGAGTGGCTGGGGTCGCTCGGCCGCCGCCGCCTTTTCAATGGGCACAAGCTTCTGCCTGGTCCCGCCCCTCCCCCGGGCTCCATTCTCTGGGGTTTGTTGTTCCAGTGCGTGCGCCTGGCGCGTGCCGCTCCGAGCGCTGAATAAACAACTGGGATGGAGCGAGAGGGGGAGGAGCCTGGGGCTGGCAGCTCCTCCTCAGACCTGCTCCGAGCGGGCACTGCCACCTGCTTATGACAGCCAATACACCGGGCACTTTGTACCGGGGACAAGCTCAGGCACCTGCCTGGTCCCGCCCCTCTCCCCGGGCTCCATTCTCTGGGGTTTACCTGTTCCAGGGGCGTGCGCCTGGCGCGTGCCGCTCCGAGCGCTGAATAAACAACTGGAGATGGAGCGAGAGGGGGACTGCCAGCCTGGGGCTGTGACAGCTCCTCACTCGGGCACTACCTGCTCCGAGCGGGCACTGCCACCTGCTTATGACAGCCAATACACCGGGCACTACCTGTACCGGGGACTGCCACCTGCTTGTGACAGCCAATACACCGGGCACTACCTGTACCGGGGACTGCCACCTGCTTGTGACAGCCAATACACCGGGCACTACCTGTACCGGGGACTGCCACCTGCTTGTGACAGCCAATACACCGGGCACTACCTGTACCGGGGACTGCCACCTGCTTGTGACAGCCAATACACCGGGCACTACCTGTACCGGGGACTGCCACCTGCTTGTGACAGCCAATACACCGGGCACTACCTGTACCGGGGACTGCCACCTGCTTATGACAGCCAATACACCGGGCACTACCTGTACCGGGGACTGCCACCTGCTTATGACAGCCAATACACCCGGCACTACCTATACCGGGGACTGTCATTTGCTTATGACAGCCAATACACCCGGCACTACCTATACCGGGCACTGCCACTTGCTTATGACAGCCAATACACCGGGCACTACCTATACCGGGGACTCTCACCTGCTTATGACAGCCAATACATCGGGCACTACCTATACCGGGGACTGTCACCTGCCTCTCACAACTACTACACCGGGGACTGTCACTTGCCTCTCACAACTACTACACCCCCCGGGGACTGCCACCTGCTTCTCATAACTACTACACCGGGCACTACCTATACCGGGGACTCTCACCTGCTTATGACAGCAAATACACACGGGGCACTACCTATACCGGGGACTCTCACCTGCTTATGACAGCCAATATATCGGGCACTACCTATACCGGGGACTGTCACCTGCCTCTCACAACTACTACTCTCACAACTACTACACCGGGGACTGTCACCTGCCTCTCACAACTACTACACCGGGGACTGTCACCTGCCTCTCACAACTACTCCACCGGGGACTGTCACCTGCCTCTCACAACTACTACACCGGGGACTGTCACCTGCCTCTCACAACTACTACACCGGGGACTGTCACCTGCCTCTCACAACTACTACACCCACCGAGGACTGCCACCTGCTTCTCATAACTACTACACCGGGCCCTACCTATATCGGGGACTGTCACCTGCCTCTCACAACTACACCGGGCACTACCTATACCGTGCACTGTTACCTGCTTCTCACAACTACTGCACCGGGCACTATTTACACCTATATCGGTCATTGCCTACTACTTGCACTTATACCGTGCACTGCCACCTGCCTCTCACAGCTACTACACCGGGCACTACTTACACCGGGCACTGCCACCTGGCTCTTACAACTACTACACCTACTTACACCGGGCACTGCCACCTGGCTCTTACAACTACTACACTACACCTATATCAGTCATTGCCTACTACTTGCGCTTATACCGGCACTACCTCTACAACTATTACTGGGCATTGCCTACTACTTACACCTATACCGTGCACTGCCACCTACCTCTCACAACTACTACACCGGACACTACCTACACCTATACTGTTCATTGCCTACTACTTACACCTATACCGTGCACTGCCACCTATCTCTCACAACTATTACACCGGACACTGCCAGCTATCTATACTGCCACCTGCTTCTAGAGATGTGCTAGCGGCCCCCGCTCTATTCCCCCGGGCATTGCCTGGTATTTATACTGCCACCCACTTGTACTAGGCACAGTGAACTGCCCCCGGGCACTGCCCGCTAGGTATCGCCTCATTCTACTAAGAGAGGAGCCCGTCCTATCCGCTATATATCTGCTGACTGTATACACTGCACTGCACTCCACACTGAGCGGGCAAGTGAGATCTGTGGCATTCCTCATCCCGTGTACATTGTATCTAATCGGTGAACTTTTCTCTGCTCGCTACAATGTTGCAGTCTTTATACAATTCTACACAACTCCAAATATTTGGGAAATAATGATAACTGTTCATAGCCAATGTCTGGGATTAGGTGATCGCTGAATACTTATGTACATTATGTGCACTGTTCATGGGCAATGGGTGTACACTTCATAAGTAATGGGTACACCCTGCGTGGGTAGTATGTGCACTGTTCATGGGCAATGGGTGTACACTTCATAAGTAATGGGTGCACCCTGCGAGGGTGATATGTGCGCTGTTCATGGGTAATGGGTGTACACTTCATAAGTAATGGGTGCACCCTGCGTGGGTAGTATGTGCACTGTTCATGGGTAATGGGTGTACACTTCATAAGTAATGGGTGCACCCTGCGAGGTTAATATGTGCGCTGTTCATGGGCAATGGGTGTACACTTCATAAGTAATGGGTGCACCCTGCGTGGGTAGTATGTGCACTGTTCATGGGTAATGGGTGTACACTTCATAAGTAATGGGTGCACCCTGCGAGGTTAATATGTGCGCTGTTCATGGGGCAATGGGTGTACACTTCATATAAGTAATGCGTGCACCCTGCGTGGGTAGTATGTGCACTGTTCATGGGCAATGGGTGTACACTTCATAAGTAATGCGTGCACCCTGCGTGGGTAGTATGTGCACTGTTCATGGGCAATGGGTGTACACTTCATAAGTAATGGGTGCACCCTGCGTGGGTAGTATGCGCACTGTTCATGGGCACTGGGTGTACACTTCATAAGTAATGGGTGCACCCTGATTGGGTAGTATGCGCACTGTTCATGGGCAATGGGTGTACACTTCATAAGTAATGGGTGCACCCTGCGTGGGTAGTATGCGCACTGTTCATGGGCACTGGGTGTACACTTCATAAGTAATGGGTGCACCCTGCGTGGGTAGTATGCGCACTGTTCATGGATAATGGGTATACTATTTATTTGTAATTCGTATAGAGTTCATTGGTAGTGTGTATACTGTTCAAAAGTAATGTGTGCACCCTGCGTGGGTAATATGGACATTGGTCGTGAGTAATGGTTATGCTATTTATGAATAATGTGTATATACTTAGGTTCATTGGTAGTGTGTATACCAATTATGGGTAATGTGTAGTTGATTGGTAGTGTATACAACATTCATGGGTAAAATAGATACTGTTCATTGGTAGTGGCTATATAGTTCATAGGTAATATGTATACAGTTCATGGGTATTGTGCATACTGGTCATGGGTAATGTGTATACCATTCATCGGTAGTGTGTACACAGTTCATAGGCAGTGTAATTACAGTTCATGGGTACTGAATATACTGTTTGGTATACTGTTCATGGGTAATATGTATACCATTCATGGGTAATGTCTATACACTTCGTGAGTGGTGTGTATGCTGTTCATGGGTAATGTGTATACCATTCATGGGTAGTGTATATACAGACCATGGGCAGTGTGCATACAGTTCATGGGTACTGAATATACTGTTCAGTATACTGTTCATGGGAAATTTGTATACACTTCGTGAGTGGTGTGTATACTGTTCATGGGTAATGCGTGTACCATTCATGGGCAGTTTGAATACAGTTCCTGGGTAGTGTGTATACTGTTCATGGGTAGTGTATATGCTGTTGTGCAGTTGATGGGCAACGTGTATATTGTTCATGGGTAATGTGTATATTGTTCATGGGTAACGTGTATATTGTTCATGGGTAACGTTTATATTGTTCATGGGTAATGTGTATATTATTCATGGGTTATAAAAGACACCTGTCCACAGAATCCCTTTCTTCCATTCAAACCTCACCTCCATGGGCAAGACCAAAGAGCTGTCAAAGGATATCATGGACAAGACTGTTGAGCTGCACAAGGCTGGAATGGGCTACAAGACCATCAGAAGAAGCTGGGGAGAAGGAGACAACTGTTGGAGTGATTATTCACAAATGGAAGAAATACAAAATAACCATCAATCACCCTCAGTTTGGAGCTCCATGCAAGATATCACTTCATGAGGTAAGGATGATCATGAGAAATGTGAGGGATCAGCCAAAAACTACACGGGAAGAGCTTGTGAATGATCTCAAGGCAGTTGGGGCACAGTCACTAAACAAACCATTGGTAACACAATATGCCACCATGGATTGAAATCCTGCAGCACCCACAAGGTCCTCCTCCTTAAGAAGGCACATGTACAGGCTGACGTTTTCCAATGAACATCTAAATGATTCAGAGAAGGATTAAGAGAAAGTGCTGTGGTCAGATGAGACCAAAATTGAGCTCTTTGTCATTAACTTGACTCATTGAGGTTTATTTACAAAAGCTAGTTCACTCAGAATCTTGTGCATCTGTGCATGGAAGCCAATCAGCTTCTAACCTCAGCTTGTTCAATTAAGCTTTAGCAATAAAACCTGAAAGCCGATTGGTTTCTATGCAGAAGTGCACAAGATTCAGAGTGAATCAGCTTTAGTAAATACACCCCATTGTGTCTGGAGGAAGAAAAATGCTGGCTATGACCCTAAGAATACCATCCCTACAGTCAAGCACAGAAGTGGAAATATTATGCTTTTGGGCTGTTTCTCTGCTAAAGGTACAGGTCGACTTTGCCACATTGAGGGGCCAATAGAAAGGGCCATATATTGTAAAATCTTGGATGAGAACCTTCTTTCCTCAGCCAGAACACTGAAGATGGGTCATGGATGGGTCTTCCAGCATGACAATGACCCAAAACATATCGCCA